GATGTGCACGATGGAAAAATGTGTTTAGTTTTGGGATGAGTTTGTTCAGTTAATCTTTTCATTTCATCGTATTCGTTGTGCTAGAACGATTTGTTTTCAGAATTTGTTTTGTATATCCAGATTCAGTCATTATTTTTGAATTTATTCAAAAGCAAATTGAATTTCGGAAGTCGGCTATATTCATTCTGTTTTATTCTTTTCTAATCTATTCTGTTTTATTCTAATCTATTCTTTTATATTCCAATCTTTTTGTTGAAAAGAACAAATGTACGAAGATGAAGTATGGAAAGATGAGAGGTACTCCTATCCTAGGTCAATGTTCGGGAAAAAACGGAAATGAACATTGCATACACATGACAAGGGTGGAATATACGCTTTCCAACGTAACCAAGCCTGCTAGGCCACACCCTCCACCATTCCAGCTATACAAAATACACAAACCAAGTTTTTGGAGTCAAAATGGCCCTAGCAGCCTTTATTAACCAATAAATAATTTCAACATAAATAACATAACATTCCAAAAATTAGAAACAGATGAAAACGTGGTGGTCATTTGAGGGCCATAAACCCAACTTCACTTTTGCGGAAAACATGCCTTCAACTTAAGCCCCCAGCCACAACCCTTCAGCTCAGGGACAATCCTACTTATTCCCAGCCACAACCCACCGGCTCTGGGACAATCCTACTTATCCCCACCCGCAACACACCGGCTCGGGGACAATCCTACTTATCCCCAGCTGCAACCCACCGGCTCGGGGACAATCCTACTTATCCCCAGCCACAACCCACCGGCTCGGGGACAATCCTACTTATCCCCAGCCACAACCCACGGGCTCGGGGACAATCCTACATATCCCCAGTCGCAACCCACCAGCTCGGGGACAATCCTACTTATTCCCAGCCGCAACCCACCAGCTCAGGGACAATCCTACTTATTCCCAGCCATGACACACCAGCTCGGGGACAATCCTACTTATCCCCAGCCGCAACCTACCAGCTCGGGGACAATCCTACTTATTCCCAGCCGCGACACACCGGCTCTGGGACAATCCTTCTTATCTCCAGCCGCAACCCACCAGCTCAGGGACAATCCTACTTATCCTCAGCCACAACCCACCAGCTCAGGGACAATCCTACTTATCCCCAGCCACAACCCACCGGCTCTGGGACAATCCTACTTATCCCCAGCCACAACCCACGGCTCTGGGACAATCCTACTTATCCCCAGCCGCAATCCACCAGCTCGGGGACAATCCTAGTTATCCCCAGCTGCAACCCACCAGCTCAGGGACAATCCTACTTATCCCCAGCCACAACCCACCGGCTCGGGGACAATCCTACTTATTCCCAGCCGCAACACACCGGCTCAGGGACAATCCTACTTATCCCCAGCCTCAACCCACCAGCTCAGGGACAATCCTACTTATCCCCAGCCTCAACCCACCAGCTCAGGGACAATCCTACTTATCCCCAGCCTCAACCCACCAGCTCAGGGACAATCCTACTTATCTCCAGCCGCAACCCACCAGCTCAGGGACAATCCTACTTATCCCCAGCGGCAACCCACCGGGTTGGGGACAATCCTACTTATCCCCAGCCGCAACCCACCAGCTCAGGGACAATCCTACTTATCCCCAGCCGCAACCCACCAGCTCAGGGACAATCCTAGTTATCCCCACCTACAACCCACCAGCTCAGGGACAATCCTAGTTATCCCCAGCCGCAACCCACTGGCTCAGGGATAACCCTACTTATCCGCAGTGACCACCATTTTTACCTATTCCGAGTTAACCCCTTGTTATCCGGAATGGACCGAGGTCCCCATACCACTGATGGGTCCCGAATCTGTCTCCATACAGAATTCTTTTCTCCTCCAAAGACCAACTACCGCCAAGGCTGCCCAGACAATCCAAACCAAAGCACGAAGGGGAAGGAGGGTGGGAAGCTTCTTCTTCTTCCAACTTCCCCCAGTAGACTTCCTGAGGTCGGACCCTCCTTTTCCTCCCTGTGAACCCTCCCTAACTTCCCCATCCAGTCAGGTAAGCCATAATCCCAAAAACTTCCTACCCTTCTTTTAACCCTCTGTTGTTCCTCTATTCCCCCCAATCACGTTGTCCCTGTGGTTAATTTTTTTGTTGTTGTTGTTGTTGTTGCTCCAGGCCTACCTGTATATGTGGGGACCAAAGGTGCCTCTGGTGTAACCCACAGATAAAGAGGATAAACAGCAACAATTATCCGTGTTCAAGAATGTATTTCACTATGAAAAACATATTATTGAAGCCCCTAACAGCATGACCACAACAGCAGTCAGGTTCTAAAGTCAGATACATCTAAAGATACATTTAGAAACAATAAGCATGAAGAAAGGACAAAGGAAGGAAAACAAAAGAAGAGAATACTGAGAGAGATTGAAGTAAAAGAGGGTTAGCTGTGGTCCCGCTTAGGGACAGAGAGGTATTGCATCCACGGATCCCATGTTTTATCGAATTTCGGCAAATTGTTATTGAGAATGTAGGTGAGCTTGGCATTAACCACGATCCAATTCAATGTATTTTTAACAAGTGGTATCACCGATCACTTCCAATGTTTAGCAATAGGGATCCTTACAGCCAGCATCATGTAGAGCAGGGGTCTCCAAACTTTCTAAACAAAGGGCCAGTTTACTGTTCTTCAGACTTTAGGAGGGCCGGACTGTGACCAGCAGGAGTGGAAAATGCCAGTAGGAGGAGGAATAGTTCCCCATCATTGGTGTCAGTGGGAGGAATGGTGCCCCATTATTAGTGTCAGTGGGAGGGAATTGTGCCCCATCATTGGTGTCAGTGGGAGAAATAGTGCCCCAGCATTAGTGTCAGTGGAGGAATGGTGCCCCATTATTGGTGTCAGTGGGAGGGAATAGTACTCCATCATTGGTATCAGTGGGAGGAATAGTGTCCCATCATTGGTGTCAGTGGGAGGAATAGTGCCCCATCATTGGTATCAGTGGGAGGAATAGTGCCCCATCATTGGTATCAGTGGGAGGAATAGTGCCCCATCATTGGTATCAGTGGGAGGAATAGTGCCCCATCATTGGTGTCAGGGGGAGAAATAGTGCCCCAGCATTAGTGTCAGTGGGAGGAATGGTGCCCCATTATTGGTGTCAGTGGGAGGGAATAGTACTCCATCATTGGTGTTAGAGGGAGGAACAGTGCTCCTATCTTTGGTGTCAGTGGGAGGAATACTGCCCCAGCATTAGCGTCAGTGGGAATAATAATACCCCAACATTGGTGTCAGTGGGAGGAACAGTGCTCCTATCATTGGTGTCAGTGGGAGTAATTGTGCCCTGGCATTAGTGTCAGTGGGAGGAATGGTGCCCCATTATTGGTGTCAGTGGGACGGAATAGTGCTCCATCATTGGTGTTAGAGGGAGGAACAGTGCCCCTATCTTTGGTGTCAGTGGGAGGAATAGTACCCCAGCATTAGCGTCAGTGGGAATAATAATACCCCAACATTGGTGTCAGTGGGAGGAACAGTGCTCCTATCATTGGTGTCAGTGGGAGGAACAGTGCCCCAGCATTAGTGTCAGTGGGAGGAATGGTGCCCCATTATTGGTGTCAGTGGTAGGGAATAGTGCTCCATCATTGGTGTTAGAGGGAGGAACAGTGCTCCTATCTTTGGTGTCAGTGGGAGGAATGCTGCCCCAGCATTAGTGTCAGTGTGAATAATACCCCAGCATTGGTGACAGTGGGAGGAATAGTGCCCCATAATTGGTGTCAGTGGGAGTGGGATGGGCCTCTTCACAGCCTGCTGCCTTCAGCCCCACATCTTCCTTCGCTATCTTCCACCCAACTCGCCTTCAGATGAGCAGGCTTCAACACTTTTAAGTGTATCCAACCTCTTGCCAAGCCTTCTGTAGGGGATTGGCTAGGACCCCTCAAGAGTGCAAGCCAGCCACTCCTCAGATCCACCCACTGCTCCTAGGGCCTTCCTCTGAAGCCCTAGAACAGGGGAAAATTCCAGAGGGACCAGTCTGCAGAGCTTCTCAGCTCCTGGCCACAATTTGACCTTCTGGCTATGACACCCAGGCTGCTACTCAGCCTTCCTCACTGACAATCAGGACTCTAGGACCCCCGCGCTAAACTAGGAGGATGCTACATGAGTGTTTTGCAACCACTTTAAACCTGAACTCACAGCAGCAAACACATTTAGGCACAATATGGGAACAGAGTCTTGTTTCTACTTTAGTAAATGACCCCTAATAACTGTTCTTTCCCATTAGACCACGGGCGTCAAACTGGCAGCCCTCCAGCTGTTGCCACACTACAAGTCCAATGAGACATTGCAAGGCTGACAGTTACAAGCATGACTCCCAAAGGCAGAGGCATGATGGGGACTTGTAGTTTGGCAACAGCCGGAGGGCCGCCAATTTGACACCCCTGCCTTAGAGTCAGCCGCTGCAATGTGTTCTCCTGTTCTGTTCTTAGGATAACTATAATAATAGGACACAGCTGCGGGTGGAAGAAGAACACTTTGTGAATCTCTGTTTTCATCTATTGCTCTGAGGAAGGGTGTTCGACTCCCGAAACGCGTTAGCACTTTGCCCGAGGACCCATGCTGTCCACGACTGGCATCCTTTGACTTCTTGTATTTATGACCTTTTTTTACCTTGTGGGTATGTTTTAGTATTTTTTATAATAAATTTCATATTCTCACGGTAATGCAGGAGGACAGAGCGTCTTGTTTTGTTCTTTTCTGCTGGTATCAAGATTCCCCAATCTACCAAGGGCAGCACCTCAGCAAGTGCAGGATTCCATTTTGAGTGCAGCAAGAGAGATTTGAGTGCCAGTTTCTGGTTACTGTTGGATAAGTACGACCATTTTAACCGCTTCCTGTCCACCATATAAGGAAATGACGGGCGCAAGGCGGTTTTCTTGTTCTTGTAGGACGTCATATGATATCCTCCCACTCTAACTGCGCGTGCGCGGCTTCGGGGTGCGCATTGCAGCGATCGGTGGTGCGCTGTGTCCCTCGGACACAGTGGATCATCGATCAATGGAAAGAGCCGAAGATGCCGGCTCGGTCATGTGATTAGCTGTGTCCAATCACAGCTGATCGCATGTAAATAGGGAAATGCCGGTTATCGGCATTTCTCTTCTCATGAGCTGTCACGCCGACAGAGGAGAGGAGAGGAAAGCCAGAAATCGGCTTTCCGCGGAGGGGACATGTACACTGATCATCAGGGCACTGATGATCAGTGTGCCCTGATGATCAGTGTAGCCCTAGCAGTGCCACCTGCCACTGCTCATCAGTGCCACATCAATGCCACATATCAGTGCCTACCAGTGCACATCAATGCCCCATATCAGTGCCCATCTGAGTTGCCTTTCAGTGTCACCTATCAGTGCCAGTCAGTGCTACCTATCAATGCCAGTCAGTGCCACCTATCAGTGCTGCCAGTCAGTGCCACCTATCGGTGCCAGTCAGTGCCACCTATCGGTGCCCATCAGTGCTGCCTAGCAGTGCCAGTCAGTGCCACCTAACAGTGCCAGTCAGTGCCACCCATCAGTGCCAGTCAGTGCTGCCTATCAGTGCCATATATGAGTGCTGCCTTACAGTGCCCATCAGTGATGCCTGTCAATGCCCATCAGTGCCACCTATCAGTGGCCATCAGTGCAGCATATCAGTGCCCATCACTGCAGCCTCATTAGCGCACATCAGTGAAGGAGAAAAATCACTTATTTACAAAATCTTATAACAAAAACTAAGAAATTTTTTTTTTTCTCACAATTTTCAGTTGTTTTTGGTTTGTTTAGCAAAAAATAAAACACCCAGAGGTGATTAAATACCACCAAAAGAAAGCTCTATCTGTCTCAAAAAAATGATAGAAATCGCATATGGGTACAGTGTTGCATGACCGCGCAATTGTCATTCAAAGTGCGTCAGCGCTGAAAGCTGAAATTTGGCCTGGGCAGGAAGGGGGTGTAAGTGCCCGGTAGGCGAGGAGTTAAACCTGAACTCACAGCAGTAGTAGTAGCAGCACATTTCGGCACAATATGGGAACGGGTCTTGTTTCCTCCTTAGTAAATGACCCCTAATAACTTGTTCTTTCCCATTAGAGTCAGCCGCTGCAATGTCTTCTCCTGTTCTGTTCTAAGTAGGATAACTATAATAATAGGACACAGCTGTGGGTGGAAGAAGAACACTTTGTGAATCTCTTCATCCAGTTCCCGAGGGTTCCCACGCTCCCCGTTTCTAAGTTGGTACCCAGCGATGTCTGGGAACACGGACGGTCCCCAGGCTCCCTTCCCAGCAGGATGGCACAGTGACCCAGCACAGCAGGCTGCTGGCACCACCATTACTTGGAACATGCTCACAATCCGCAAGGGGCCTATGGACCCCCACCCCCTGCCAGGCATCTCCATTTATCCACAGAGAGCGGAATATGATTCATATGGAACATCACAGAATCCATGGGAGTGAAGAATGTCCAGAGCTGACAGGCCCGGAGTGTGACGGGGTGTTTTATCAGTGCGAGTGTGCCACGAGGCATCCGTCCCACCATCTATCACGGCCTTGCAGCACATGGAGCCTTTCATCCGCCCATAGCAGGAGTCCAACAGGAGCAATTTGGAAATTAGCTAATGTGATGTTTGTCAGACGTTCTGGTGAGCAGCAGATCCGCTAAGAGCCGGCATTTCCCGTCCAGCATGGAGTCATCTTCCCCATCAGTCATTTCCCAGAAGCCCTTTCTGCGTCTTGTTCTAAAGGCTGCGCCTCAGTGAGCGTCACGTTAACGCGCCTGTAATCTGCCGGCTTCTAGGAAGTCCATGCAAGGCCTCCATACCGCGTAGAGGAGGCTATTAACCCTCTTTTTGTTTCATATGATAATACTAAATTGGGCCCATTTCACTTTTTATCTGCTGCGCCTGTTCGCAGATCCGCGTCCAGATCCCTGAGATTTCAGGCAGATTTCTGCTAAGAGTTGGGGTTCCAACATTCCCACCATTGGGTGCTCATCAATGGCAGCAAAAATTTAAAAATGTCTAAATCAGGGATACAATTTATGTGGGATTATTTGTTTCATCTCTGTAGATCACCTGAGGCCCCATGTAAATGTAGCACTACCCCCTTAGGAGTCGCTAGAAGATTTGGGTCCCCCTATAGTCCTGCACAGCCAGGCATCACACATCTTCACCAAGACTTCATCTGGAATATGCAGTTCAGTTTTGGGCTCCAATTCACAAAAGAACATTGGGGAACTGGAGGAAGTACAGAGAAGGGCAACCAAACTGATATGAGGCATGGAAGAGCTCAGCTATGAGGAAAGATTAGAGGAACTGAATTTATTCTCTCTTGAGAAGAGGAGATAAGGGGGGATATGATCTCCATGTATAATACATAAGGGGGGATATGATCTCCATGTATAATACATAAGGGGGGATATGATCTCCATGTATAATACATAAGGGGGATATGATCTCCATGTATAATACATAAGGGGGGATATGATCTCCATGTATAATACATAAGGGGGGATATGATCTCCATGTATAATACATAAGGGGGGATATGATCACCATGTGTAATACATAAGGGGGATATGATCTCCATGTGTAATACATAAGGGGGGATATGATCTCCATGTATAATACATAAGGGGGGATATGATCTCCATGTATAATACATAAGGGGGGATATGATCTCCATGTATAATACATAAGGGGGGATATGATCTCCATGTATATAATACATAAGGGGGGATATGATCTCCATGTATAATACATAAGGGGGATATGATCTCCATGTATAAATACATAAGGGGGATATGATCTCCATGTATAATACATAAGGGGGGATATGATCTCCATGTATAATACATAAGGGGGGGGGGGATATGATCTCCATGTATAATACATAAGGGGGGATATGATCTCCATGTATAATACATAAGGGGGATATGATCTCCATGTATAATACATAAGGGGGGGGATATGATCTCCATGTATAATACATAAGGGGGGATATGATCTCCATGTATAATACATAAGGGGGGATATGATCTCCATGTATAATACATAAGGGGGGGATATGATCTCCATGTATAATACATAAGGTGGGGATATGATCTCCATGTATAATACATAAGGGGGATATGATCTCCATGTATAATACATAAGGGGGATATGATCTCCATGTATAATACATAAGGGGGGATATGATCTCCATGTATAATACATAGGGGGGGATATGATCTCCATGTATAATACATAAGGGGGATATGATCTCCATGTATAATACATAAGGGGGGGATATGATCTCCATGTATAATACATAGGGGGGGATATGATCTCCATGTATAATACATAGGGGGATATGATCTCCATGTATAATACATAAGGGGGATATGATCTCCATGTATAATACATAAGGGGGGATATGATCTCCATGTATAATACATAAGGGGGATATGATCTCCATGTATAATACATAAGGGGGGATATGATCTCCATGTATAATACATAAGGGGGGATATGATCTCCATGTATAATACATAAGGGGGGATATGATCTCCATGTATAATACATAAGGGGGGATATGATCTCCATGTATATAATACATACATATAGTGGGGGGTAGAGTTGATCTCCATGTATCAATACATAAGGGGCAGTATATGATCTAGTATAGTGGCAGGTTAGAGTACTATATGACAGGGGGGATATGATCTAGGGTATGTATAGTGGCAATAGTATAAGGGGGGTATAGTGGCATCTCCATGTATAGTGGCAGGTAAGGGGTTTATAGTGGATCTCCATGTATAATACATAAGGGGGGTATAGTGGCTTATAGTATAATGGCAGGTTAGGGTAGTATAGTGCAGGTTATGTTAGTATAGTGGCAGTGGTTCATATAGTGGCTCGGTAGTATAGTGGCAGGTTAGGGTTAGTATCACAGTGGCAGGTTAGGGTAGTATAGTAGTTAGGGTAGCAGGGTAGGGTAGTATAGTGGCAGGTTAGGGTAGTATAGTGGCAGGTTAGGGTAGTATAGTGGCAGGTTAGGGCAGTATAGTGGCAGGTTAGGTTAGTATAGTGGCAGGTTAGGTAGTATAGTGGCAGGTTAGGGCAGTATAGTGGCAGGTTAGGGCAGTATAGTGGCAGGGTTAGGGTAGTATAGTGGCAGGGTTAGGGCAGTATAGTGGCAGGTTAGGGTAGTATAGTGGCAGATTAGGGCAGTATGGTGGCAGGTTATGGCAGCATAGTGGCAGGTTAGGTTAGTATAGTGGCAGGTTAGGCAGTATAGTGCAGGTTAGGTTAGTATAGGCATGTTAGGGCAGTATAGTGGCAGGTTAGGGCAGTATAGTGGCATGTTAGGGCAGTATAGTGGCAGGTTAGGTTAGTATAGTGGCAGGTTAGGGCAGTATAGTGGCAGGATTTAGGGTAGTATAGTGGCAGGTTAGGGTAGTTATAGTGGCAGGTTAGGGCAGTATAGTGGCAGGTTAGGGTAGTATAGTGGCAGGTTAGGGTAGTATAGTGGCAGGTTAGGGTAGTATAGTGGCAGGTTAGGGCAGTATAGTGGCAGGTTAGGGTAGTATAGTGGCAGGTTAGGGCAGTATAGTGGCAGGTTAGGGTAGTATAGTGGCAGGTTAGGGTAGTATAGTGGTAGGTTAGGGGTAGTAGTGGCAGGTGAGGGCAGGTTAGTGGCAGGCAGTATAGTGGCAGGTTAGGGTAGTATAGTGGCAGGTTAGGTTAGTATAGTGGCAGGTAGGGGGGTAGTTTTTAGGGCAGTATAGTGGCAGGTTAGGGGCAGGTTTAGTATAGTGGGCAGGTAGGGCAGGGTGGCAGGTTATAGTGGCAGGGTTAGGGCAGTATAGTGGCAGGTTAGGGCAGTATAGTGGCAGGTTAGGGCAGTATAGTGGCAGGTTAGGGCAGTATAGTGGCAGGTTAGGTTAGTATAGTGGCAGGTTAGGGCAGTATAGTGGTAGGTTAGCGCAGTATAGTGGCAGGTTAGGGTAGTATAGTGGCAGGTTAGGGCAGTATAGTGGCAGGTTAGGGCAGTATAGTGGCAGGTTAGGGCAGTATAGTGGCAGGTTAGGGCAGTATAGTGGCAGGTTAGGGTAGTATAGTGGCAGGTTAGGGTAGTATAGTGGCAGGTTAGGGTTAGTATAGTGGCAGGTTGGGGTAGTATAGTGGCAGGTTGGGGTAGTATAGTGGCAGGTTGGGGTAGTATAGTGGCAGGTTAGGGTACAATGGTATACAAATACAATGCAAACAATTTTTCCCACAATAACAGTTAGAATTTTGTTAGTTCAAACAAAAACAAGAAAATATTTTCGTCCACATAGTTGAAACAAATGATGATTTGTCCCCATTAACCATTAGAGAATCAAAAGAACTTTTACTAGCGAAGTTCTACCAGTGTAAGGCCAGTTATACTCCCTCTCATCGACAATACAGCAGACACTATGGGACGGTCAGGCAGAGGTGGTCATGTGGTCATTGTTGTGGAGCCCTGACATGGAAAGAGGCGACTGAAGATCATAGTTCATAGCGGCAGTTAAAGGAAATTCTGCACCTCAGACAGACATGGAGAACATGATGGGCATCACTTCTGGAGAGTCGGAACCAAATCAATACCTGAATAAAAACCCTGTTTATAGAATGACATCAGCATAGCTGAGAACTCTTCAGCTTTTGCACCGTAGACTCTGGATAGCT